CAGAGGAGTCAGGGCCTGAGCTCCACAGCTGCTCCTGTGACTGCCATGACCTCAGTGTGTGCCCAGCGCCCCCTGCTGGTGCTGACTGAGCATGACCTCAGTGTGTGCTGAGCGCCCCCTGCTGGTGCTGAGCGCCCTGCCGGGCGTTTGGTTTCTGGCCCACACTGGATTTCCTGCACTGTGTGTCTAGCACAGTAATAGACGGCCATGTCCTCCACTCTCAGGCTGTTCATCTGCAGGTAAAGTGTGTTCTTGCTATTGTCTCTGGAAGTGGTGAAGCGACCCTTCACAGAGTCTGCATACTTTATGTCACTACTACTACCACTGATGTATGAGAGCCACTCAGGCATCTTCCCTGGAGCCTGGTGGACCCAGTGCATGTAGTAACTACTGAAGGTGAATCCAGAAGCTGCACAGGAGAGTCTCAGGGACCCCCCAGGCTGCACCAAGCCTCCCCCAGACTCCACCAGCCGCACCTCACACTGCACACCTGCAAACACAGAGAATCCTGGTCAGCAATGGTCATACACATCCACTGTTCTTCCCACTCATGTCCATTTGCACACTCAGTATCCCTTGCTCGCCATGAATCACCTTTCACCAGAGCAACAAGAAGAGCCCAGTGCAGCCCCAGCTCCATGGTGGTGGTCTGTGCTCAGTCACTGGTGGAATCAGCTCACAGAGCTCAGGTCAGGGCTGGGCTGGTTTTCATGGGCAGAGGGATGTCCTATTTGCATGTCCTCTGCTATAAAGCAGCTCTGGGGGGAAGTCTAGAGATTGGGCTCCAGAGCAGAGGTGACTGTGCTGGAGGAGTTTGGTGACAATGGTCACCTTGGAGACATCATGATGCACTGACCATGTGCTGTGGTTCACACTGTATCTGCAGCTCCTTGGGAGCCTGAGGCAGAGTGTGAGAACACTGAGAGCTGTCTGGGGTGGAGAGGGACACACATGTCCTCTCATTCTGCCATTGTGCCTGGTGACTGTTCTGCGAGCATTTCTTTTTTTGTTTTTTTATTTAATTTAATTTTATTTGTGAACATACTGTACAAGGGGTTACAATTACATGGGCAGGATAATGCGTACATTTCTTACCAAGCATTGCAGCCTCCTCCTTTGGTTTACCCTTCACATCCCTTCCCAGCCTCCCCCTTCCCCCCCATCCCAATCCTTCTCCTTCCTCCCCCTCCTTCCCCCCCTCACTGACATTGTAAAGCTCGTTTTGGACATGACAACTTGTACTTCTCATTGTTGCAAGAGGTCCACTTGTATCCTTAAACAACTGGTTTTTCCCCATCTCCTCCACACCTATCCCATTTCCTTTATCTGTTCTTCTCCTGTTGAACCTTTACTTTAATCTCAGGCCCTTCCTCAAATTAAATGTGTAAAAAATACCCACAAAACAACATAAAACTTTGAAGTTTGCATTCTCAGTAGAAGAACACTTCCCCACACTGTACCAGACGACCAGCCTTTATATTCTTCCATGTTTGTGATAACAGTCATGCTGACTTACGTGAGCTGATATTTCACTGTGGGATTGATTTGCATTTCATTGATATAAGCATATTATCTTGTACTTCAATATGTGTCTTTTTGTTGTCAGTCGTGGGGCTTAAACTCTGGGCTTGGGCGCTGTCCCTGAGCTATTCAGCTCAAGGCAAAAGCTCTACTGCTTGAACCACTGTTGCACTTCTGGTTTTCTAATGGTTTATTGGAGATCAGAGTCTCACAGACTTTCCTGCCTGAGCTTGCTTTGAACCACGATCCTCAGATCTCAGCCTCCTGAGTAGCTTGGATTAAAGAGGAGAGCCACCAGTACCTGAATTATTTATCTTTTTAAAGAATTCTCAATGCAGGTCTTCTGATCATTATTTCACTGGGTTCTAGATTTGTCTTTTGTTGTTTCCTTGAGACCTTTGTTTGGATGATACACCATGGAGAGTAAATCCTTTTAGAGACATTATCACTACTATAGTTATGATGAAGCTTTACTCTTTTGACATTATTTCATGTTGCTGAAGAGTTGGTTCCCAGCAATCTCTTTGTGCCTTTTTGTCTTTATTTTACGCTGTTGCTGTCATATGGAGTAGGAGTGCAGTCACAGGAATGAGAGTGTAGTCTAGATTTTAACATCAGACTCTGGCAGCACCAAGTTCACTTCTCCCTTCCCTGTGTGTCAGTGGTGGACATGGATTAAGGGAGTGCTGGATCTCCCCTCTCATGCATTCAGTGAGTGGTTCTGACCTGCTGTGTTTGGAGAGGAGGAACTCACCTTCCTCTGCCCCAGGCTGAGGTGAAAACCCAAGAACCTGTCCTTTCTAGGCTCTCCCAAGTCATTTCAGTTTCCTGAGAGGCTTCTCTGGTCTCTCTGAAATGTCACCAACCCTTTCCTCCCTCTGTATGTGCGTGTGTGGGATTATCAGACATGACATCCACACTGAACCTTGGTCTGATCTTGGTCTTTGCCTTGCACCATATGGATTGTGGCCTTGGCAAGAATGTTGCCACCACAAAACCTGTCCTGAGCTTAGAAGCGTCCTCTGCTCCCACAGACTCATCCAGTGATGGAAATGACAGTCTTTCCTGCTGCCCCGCTTTAGTGCGAGTGCAGATTATCAGACACGACATCCATATCCAGTGTTGGTCTTGTCTCTGCCTTGTTTGGCTTTATAGACAATCTGTGTTGCAGGAGAGGTTCTGTGGCTGTGGTACCATGGAACTCTGTCCCGATATCGGTTGCTGACTGTTAAGTCCCTGGTGATAAGCTCACTCCCGTGCTAAGTTATTCTGGGCCATTTCTACCCTGAAGCAGGACCCTGGGCCTCGCTGCTCTTTTATGCACCTGCCTGTTAAATTGTCTTGCATTAATTTAATGATGAAGAGAAGGGTATGCTATTTACTGAATTTAATCATTACATATTACATTAACATATCAAATTACTAAGATCTCTCTCCTAAATGTGTTTTGTCAGTTTAAAAGTATACAAATGTATCTTAGTGGTAGAACACATAAATGAAGTTTAGGTTCAAATTGTAGGAGGAAGTATAATTGTGTGGGAATGGGGAGAAAGTTTAAATGGGTGACACTGATGGACACATGTTGATCAAACTGATTTCTTTCTTTTTATGTCTTTGTTGTTGGTGGGGGTTGAACTCACAATGTGGGCACTGTCTGTGAGTTCCTTTGCTCAAGGCTAATGCTCTACCACTTTGAGACAGTGCCATGTGATTTCTGAATGGGTAATTGGAGATAAGAGTCTCATGAGGACTTTTCTGCCCAGGATGTTTGGAACCTTGATCCTGAGATCTTAGCCTTCTGAGTAGCTAGGATTACAGCCGTGAGCCTGGGATTTAAAAGCAGTCCTGTGACACTGTCTTAAGACAGACTGCTCAGCTTCCTTGGGGAGAATCCAGGAGAATCATGGAAAGCACCCTCCCTGCTTTCTACTTTCTTCTGAATCACCATCCAGATGTCTGCCTCTGCAGAAAGAAACTTACTATCTAAAAAATAAACAATGGTGAACAGTGCTGCAGGCCTGATTCTGCAGCAGATCGTCAGATTAGCAAGTGCAAAGCATGGAGTTCATAACTGCACCACAAACAGCAAACTAGGAGCCTAGCACCATCCTCCATTCTTCTAATTCCCTCCATCAGTGAGACAGCTCAGGGTTCCAAATGACAGATGGTGCTCAGAAGATAGGAAGAGAGAAAGAGCCTCAGGAATCATGAAAGTGTAAACAGCACCATTCAAACCACGGAGAAACAGAACCAAGGCATGTCCAGAGGGACTGTGGGTGCTGGGGAGGTGTCCAGAGGGACCCCGGGAATGGGAGGAGGGAGCATCACAGAACCTGACACCCAGCTCCCACCCAGCTTCTGGGGTGAGATCCAGGGCTGCTGGCCCTGAGCACCTCCGCAGCTCAGGCTCAGGGTCTGGTGGACAGTCTGTGTCAGGACTCACACTGA